AAATTGCAGCTAGAGGAGAAAATTGCAGAATATAATGGATTAACCAGACAACTGGATTCTGCTATGGAAGAAGGGAGAAAAATGGTATTGATGATTTAATACATCTCTTAATCTTGTTTGCCATTTTCTATTTAAAAATAGCATTAAAATCAAATGTGCTTGAGAAGAAAGGATGGGACAAGATTATTCTGCATGTAGGGAGCAATACTAAAAAGTTACTGGGAATTCTGCATGTTTAAATATGGATTGCACAATTCAACTTCTTTGTGGAATTCGGATCCTATTGAAATTAATGATGAAGTTCAGTGGACCAAAATTTCACCATCATTTTTTTGGTGACAAATCAAAATGCTTTAACCACCTAATATTTAAATCCCACACATACAGCAAAATGTTTCTGAACAAAAGCTTAATCTTTCCTTTTTCTTATTCTCTTTGGAATAGGTAGCCTGCAAGAACTTTGGTGTTGAAATCCTTCTCACTTTAGAGGAAGGCTTTGCACACTTTCAATATTAAGCAGAGATTTGTCATTTGTGGAAAGGATGCAAACAGTAAATCAAATGGAAGAGGAAATGTAGGAATTTAGATTGCAGTGAATTGTATTAGTTTAATCAGGAAATATGTATGAAGTTGTAATTTCTGTCTCAGATTAATCACATTGAAATAAACTATCTGAATTTTCTCAGTAGTGTCTGAGGATATTGATTTGGTTTTGAAAAAATAACAAGTTTGGGTAAACTGACAAATGAGTTATAAAAGTGTCTCCCTCTCAATATATGACATTTTTTTCCAAATTGAAACTTCTTTCAAATTTAGCCAGAATATTTCCCAGGTTTGTTTAGTTTCTGTGCATGGGAAGTAGCTGAAATATTAGATGACAGAACAGGAAATAGAGCTGAGATGTAAGAAAATAATTTGGTTTGGGCTTTAAGTGAAAGTAAATATACATCCTTTCTCTCTCATTACTATTACAGGTAGCCGAAGAACTGGAAAAAATGTCATACAAAGAACAAGCCCTTCAGGCAAAAATGCTAATTCTTGAAACTGAAGTGAGAGAGAGGCAAGAAGAGAAAAAACAGCTCCTCTGCATATTTCACCATGTGAGTAAATAATACTGTTTATGGCTTAAGAAATTACTTACCACATCACCGTTTACATAAAGTTCCTTTTACTGAAAAACACACTTTTAATACAATTGATACATACTTTGGGGAACAGCAAATTAATTCAACTTGACAATATACTTTGTATATTGACATTTCTAATAGACTTAACAGATGCCCAGTCTATTTTACTAAATCACTGGAATAATATTGAGTTTGCATCTCTTATTCAATCCAGTTTTCCCAGCAAGGCAAAAATAAAAAAATATGTATGAAGTTGTAATTTCCCTCTCAGATTAATCATGTTCAGTAAGCATACCTAGATTTGAATAAATGCGTAACAGTTCCATAACGACATAGTGGTTTTGTGGTTTTATTTTTCCTGAGTTGATACAAGAATCTGATCTTATTGGAATTTGTGAAAAGCCTTCAGCTTATATACTGATGTTGCACATAAATGTAGTTAGTAACAGAAGATTTTTTCAAAGTGTCAAGCCTTTAAATGACCAGGTTTCGATATGTTTAAGTCTAAGATAGGTACAGTCTAAGAAGGTATTTTGTATGAGTAATCCTCTCTGAAAACAAACAAAAAAGTCTGATTTATTGTTTTATCTAATCCAGAAAATTTCAGCACATTTTCTATTAATAAAATGTCAGACATATCTGAATTCCCTAGACTAGTGATGGCAAATCATTTGCTTTAATCAAAGTGTTGATACAGTTAGAGAGTTGTCCTGTGTTCAGTGATAATAAGCTACAAAGCTATTTAAAATCAATATAGAAGACACTAAAGAGGTTTAGTATCACTCTCCTAGACTCTCAAACCCAATATTCTGTATTCTGACTTGAAGCATTCAAGATTAAAATCAAGGCAACCTAAATGCAAACTCTATTCAAGATTCAAATAAGACATTGGAGATACGGTTCGGAATTCAGTATGCTTTAATTAACTTTTATCTGTATCAAGTGTAACTTAATGTCTGCATTTACAAGTGTTCTTAAAACAAAATCAGACATTGGCTAGTGTTTTATTCTACTTCAAATATTTTTTCATCAGAATTTCTTACTGTGTTAAAGTAAAATAGAAAATAAAGAAAATTTTCTTGTCTTTTGTCCGAGAAAAACTCCCAGGTTGAATTGGGATGTGAAATGTAATCATATTCAGCAAGCAAATTACCATAATATCCTTGCCTTAATATTAAGAAAGAAATGAAGTTCCCTTCCCTAATGAGGTGTGTAGTAAGATTAGACATTCATATAATCTCTTTTTTTGGGAGGTGAGGCAGGGAGGGTGTTACAATTCAGCTGAAAGAGACAAAAAGACCAATTTATCAGATCCTATACCTTAAGACCTATGTTCAGAGATCCTAGTTTGCTTTTGGTATTAGTCATCTTTCAGGGCTTTTTGGTAAGAGAGATTTATGGTGATGTAGAAACAGTATATTGTATTTCAAATTTATCTTTTCTTCTCTTGTTATGAAATCTAGTTAAAGATTCCCCGCGTGGTGCTTAGTTGCCGACTGAAATTAAACCATGACACCCGCTTACATTTATTTTGAAGTCTTGGAGTCTTGAAACGAACCTGAAAATGTACAGCACAGTGTATATATGTTGTTGTTGTTTATTATCATAGAGTTGCATTGGTTGTCTGATATAATCCCAAGGTACAAGGAAAAGAAACAATATGGAAGCAGTCATTGCCAGTGGTTACAAGTAAGAGTTACGGAATATGGTGCTATACACTGTTATACCTGTACTGGCAGTTGAGCATTCTTTAAAATTAGATCCTAATTTATTTCTCTCTGCAACTTAAAAAACAAGTAGAGACTTGCATTTTTGGCAGGATTTTTTGTTCTTTTTTATCAGTTTTAAAGGAATCTATTTCTATGCGACTTGTATGATGTCTGTAAGTTACTTTACTGTTTATTTTTAAGCCTCATTCTGTTTTCTTTAAAATCAGTGGTAGTCCAGTTACCGAGTTTGATGGGAACAGAGTTGGATCTCAAGAGCCTAGTTCTATTTAAAATTGCTTTTTTCAATCATATTACCAGCATGTTTTAATTTCTAAATAATTGTTTGCTTGTTAGTCCATTTTAAATCCTCGCGCCAATGGCTAAAGGCAAAGAAACTCTGAGAATCACCAGTCCTAGATAATAAGAATCCATGCCACTTGGCAGAACACTCCTGTTAATCCTTCTGTGTCAGAAATAAAGTATATGTTCAAATGGTTTCCATTTTAAGCTTACAGTTAAAATATAAATGTGAAAGTTATATTTGTCTGAGAGAAGAACTGTTCTCAATTAATTCATTGCTTTTTATTCCAATTACATTTACATATAACTGAGAATGCGTTATGGAAAATGATAAAATGGTCTTATTCCTGTTGTTATAGTGAAACTGGAAACAAAATAGGACTGTGGAGGTAATTTTATTCAGTTATTCATTCTAACCTGATTGTTTGATTTAAATCTGAAGACTATAATTCCGTTTTTTAAAATTGAATTTGTTTTAAGCAACTAGCATCTGAAATCTGTAATAGATATAAAAGGAAATACCTGAATATCTGTAATATTTATATAACAAATGATCTATGGTGTACATCAGGTATGGAACTAATGAGCAGGTAATATTGCTATCAATCATCTTTTTTAAATAAGAAACAACAGGAATCAAAAATCATGTTGCATCAGAGATCAATAACAAATGTTTCCTTGAAAAATCAACATGACAGAGAGCGTTAAGTCCATAACAGATTTGAGATGCTAGGAATCTTCCATGATAAAAATTCAGAAGGTCAGTTTTTACATTCCCAGGCCTTTTTTGGATTATAAGCCTATTCAAACATGTTCAGTTTGGTCTTCACTGAACATAAATAAAGCTTCAATATATTGTGGTCTTTTTGGGAACCTTCAGTTTTGTGGAGCCTCTGAAAACTTTTATGGGTAAATAAGGCTTATAAAAATCAGGTACTAGTTGTCTTACATTATTATTTTGATTGATTTGTATTTTATTTCTAAGTTGCATTGCATTTCTCTGTTTTCTTTAGAATGAAAAGCACCGTGAAGTACGTTTGAAAGAGCTGGAGAACAGCCTACAGAAGTCAGAGAACAAGAACCAGAGCATCCAGAATTATGTGCGGTTTTTGAAAGCTTCATACATAACAATGTTTGGCTGAATAATTTAATTTATTTTAATAATAAACTTTTGAAGATTCAGCTAACTCTTGTTGAAGGCAAGGCTGTTGAGGCTTTATAGTATTTTGCAGGACCGAGTACTATAATGTTAGTTGTTCCCTAGGAAAACAACTGTTGTGGGCAGGGAAAAGCAGGTCAGTCACTACTGTATATCCTACTGGCTGGTCACATATGGAAAATTTACCTGGTATTACTGATATAAAGAATTGTAATATTCATGGAAGAGAAGTGAAAAGGCAGATTGCATGACAGTGGTGACAGGTGTGTAAGTGTGGGGTATGCACACAAAGTTGTAAATTGGTCTGTGAATTTACCATGTGTTAGGTCCTGTGTTGTAAAGTCTTATGTGTGTCCTTTTAGGCCATGGTAAATGCGGATGATCACAGATTACCTTTCATTTCCCGTGGGGGAAGAGAACACCTGTGGGCTGGTTGCATAGTAATTTGCATATTTTAATTATTAATTATATTTATCAGTCATTATACTTCTGTTACTGTAGATATCTAGCTGCCCAAGATAGTGATATCTATCCTATTAAGACAGGCAAAAATTTAGAGAGCATTAGGTTCCCTTCCCGTCTGTTCCCTGTAGCTTAGCACCAGTACAGCACTACTGCACTGCATGAAATAGTTGCCGCCACAAGGCTGTCCCATCCAGCCTTTTTTCCTTGCATCCCATTCTGATCAGGAGTATACTATAGTGATATTTTACAAATATAAGTAGGAAAGTATTTTAGATACAGATATAATTTAAGCTCTGAATGTGTTGATACACCCTTTCATGGTGACACAGCCCCAGTTGAGGTATTTAAGTATTTATCTGTGCTTGGGTACAAGAGCTGCTGTTCACTGAAGTGAGTCAGACTGACTTACGCCTCAGGTTAAACACGTGTAAATATTCAGCTGATGCTGGGCTAATACAAAAACCGATTCTGACTGAGAAAGTAATTGTTTTCTAGATACATGCTTATCGAACTGTGGTATGGTTTTTGAAAAGTAGTACGTTCAGATAAGTTAAATATATGTAATTTAGAATGTGTATTTAAATAATATATATTTTGTAACTGAAAACATAAGTTATTTCATACACAGACAATACCTGTTTGTTAAATGTAGTATTTAATTGTTATTTATAGTGTGTAGAATGTTGATGGTCTTTTTCCTTTTCTTCCAAATGCTTATCCATCCTAACAAATACTGGTATGTCATAATGATCTGCTTGTGTGCACTTTTAAAAAATAAAATTATCATTTATTATATATGAGTTATGCTAGAAGCAAGTATTTCTGTTACGTTTTGGGGTTTCTTGCATTACACACACATGCCTACAGCCATATTTGTATTAATTTAGTTCTGCCTGTGCTACTTATAAAATATCAAACCTTTCAGAAATATTCAGAAATATTTCAGAAATAAAGTGTTGAATCTAGTCCATGACTGGTTTTTAAAAGGTCATCATGGAAAATTGTACACTTTTCATTGATAAATGACACAAAGATGTACAGTAACTTGATTTCAGCCTATCTTTTGCTATCCAGGAAATTAGGGTTTTTTTTTCCCCTATGTCATTTGCAAGCAATAGATCTGGAATTATTAAAGTTGCTGACAGCTTCAGGTACCTCTTTACCTCTGAATGTCTACAAACGATAAATTTAAGGTAGGTCAAAGTATATGTGACTTGGTTTAGCTTATAAAATTAAAAATTTGTATTTTTTTCAGCTCAACCCATCGTTTCCATTGTATTAATCTAGACTTTCTTTCCTTTTCTTCATATTCAAGGACTGGAATATACATTCTCGATCTCTGAAGTCTTAGAAATCTCTTAAAAATGAAGACAGCATTTTCCAAATGATGGTGATGTTTTTATGGCTCTCTATTACTGATTTTTTTTTTTTTTTCATGGTAGAAATAAGGCTACTAGTCACAAAACAAAGATCACTTATTTTTTCTCAGTTGCATTTGGGAACTGGTGTTAGCTGATCACGTTATTTCCATTTTACATTTTGTTAGCTCATTTAGAGACAGGAGTTGCTGTGAATTTTAATAAAGAAAAGAATGAAATTATTTTTCTAACTACCTAAGGATTTGCCATTTACTCTAGATTGCTGTTTATATTTTTTGTAACTGTAAAATCAGCTAACGTAGTTCTTGCCTTGTTCATTTTACAACATAGAAAGCCGTGTGTCATGCTGCACAATTCTTGGATACAGCTATACTGAATTGACTGTATTTTGGGATTCTAATATTTTTCTTTAAAGCAATTTATTTTTACTGTCTGCATCACATAGCAAAGTGACACTCAATTTTCTAGGAAGAAACAGACTCCTTATGCTTGCTTTCCTGGGAGTTTTCATCTCTAGACGATTTTAGAAGCCCTTAATCATGATACTGTTACCAACACCTCACCTCTCAGCCTTTTTTCAAATGAGATTTTGATTTAGCATTTCCCCCCCCCAAATGCTTAATGTGCTGCTGCAGTTTTCAAATACAGTCAGTCAGATGAAACATCTTACTGCTGCAAGTATGTACAGAAAAACTATCAAAACTACAGTTACTGGTCTGTACCGTACATGCTTTGTGATTATGTTTTCAGTCTTGCAGTGTTAATTCACAGGACCATTAGCAAGCAGGAAGGTTTGTCTTCTGCTGCTCAGAACGTCCTTGGCTGGAAAAGCGGTAGAAATCACAGACTCTGTGTAAAATTTTGACCATGCTTTCAATGATGAGCTCACCCAGTAAAGATGCAGGATGAAGCTCTCGTAGCCATAGAGGTAGGTCTTGCCGGTATGAAAAACAGGCTCTATTAAAAAAAAAAATAACAGAGTAACAGTTAAGCTGGCTAAGAACAGAAGAGTAACAAAAATAAGATTAAAACACTAGTATTCTCTATCCCACTGTATTTAGAAGATTTCCTAGTAAGAAGACACTTTTACCATAGACTGACTTTTATCATACACTTACTGAGGTATGTAGTCGGATGTTATGCGTTGTATGTGTTGTAGAATTTTACGGTTTTGCTAAGATTTTGTGGTAATTTTTCACAAAAGCTGACTCAGTATAATCCAAGATACATAAGAGAGCCCACGGCTGAACTGGTGTTCTTTTTGTAAATTAAGCCAAAGCCACCTACAATGTTACTATTTTCTCCCAATACCTGTAGCCAGTGAATTTCCATATTCAGTCAGAATTTCAGAGCTTTAATTAGGTTAAATTGTAAGCATGTAGAGTCCTGAAATTGGCAGACCTTAAAGAGTTGACCTCAACTCCCTACTCCTGCAATTCTTTGTCTGTGATAAAATGGACAGTAACACATCGCGGCCTCGTTTCTTGCTGGTTTTGAGAAAGAAAGGACTTGAAGTAGAAGATCATTATCTTATCATATGCTTTAGATTTGTTAATGTACGGGAACGCAGAATTTAAAGCAGAAGCATAAGTCTTAGGGCTACTTGGGACCCTACCCCCTTTAATGCTGTCTGCCAAGTAGCCTATTATTAGTGGCTTAAGGTTTGTCAAAGAACTTTATCTGTTTCCTATCTATGGCACAAAACCTGCTGTAAATCCTATTGTAAGATGGAGTCTTTCCAGTAAGAGAAGAGAAACTCAGTAATTTCTATCTGGATACCTGCCTCAAAGGATATCTTTATAGCAGAGACATAGCAATCATTGAGCTCCATACCGATGACTCCTCAGTCGAGTGTGATGGGTTACTAGCACAAGATTTCTTTTGACTAGGCCTTTTATCTATTTAACGGTGAATGAAATCAACACTTGGATTTCTGTGAAAAGTTTAAGGAGGGACTGTTAATGCAGCTCAAAATGTCCCCTGCTAGAAATGTGTCCAGCATCCTGCCTCGGAAAAGAGCCAGATTGTAGACTTTTTGTGACAAAATCACATTGTTGGGGATTTTCCTCCAGGAAAAGTGACCTGGCTTCCTCCGCTGACGAGCTGTTTAGCAGCGTAACGTAACGTCTGTGTACAGCCCTTACTGTGCTGGGAGGTCTAGAGCTGGCCAGCACAAACAGGGATCAAAGCAGGGCCCGATAGGAAAGGGTTGTGTGGGGCGTGAAGGAGATGCAGTGATTTCATACAGATTTCTTTTTGCTTTTGAACAAAAGCTTCCTGGGGATTGTTTTAAGGCTGACATAGCTGAAGCGTGTTCCTTAAGGCCAGAGAAGTGAGAGCACTACGTTGATGTCCACTGGTGAGGAATTTAAGCAAACACATGAATTTATTGCAGTCACGCAGGTCACCCTGATATGCATTTGGGTTCAGAATATTTTCTTGTGTGCTTATGGCTGAACAGTACTCATATAGCAGCTGTCACTCAGTTGTAAAGCTTCCAAACGTTTGAAGGTGGAGTGTGTTTTATATTGCCATCCCCATGTATCTGCACCTTTCACTCGGGATTCTTCATGTAATGCTGTTGGCTTGCAACGTTTGGATAAGGCTTTTAGAGCTACGAACAGTCCAAAGGCATATCATCCTAGTGACATGTAAATCATTCCCACTCAGAGAAATCTAGTGTCTTTAAAATGCTGGTTTTATTGAGAACAATAATGTTTCCAGGAAGTAACTGACTTATAAACAGGGCTTTTTTGTTTGAGCGTTTGACAGACTGGATCAAATACCTGATTAATGTATCATGTTACTTTTATGGCAGATTAATCTACTTCATTTAAAAATTATAGGGAAAAGGATGTTTTTATGTGTAGACACTCTGCTGCAATCTTGCATTTCATTGCCTGTAAAACTGTACCTTCCAATTTATTGACAATATAAGCATTCCATATGCTACTCTTCCTTTCGGTGGTACTACTAACAATTGAAACCAAGTCTTACTGGTTAAGCTTTGCTTGCTTTTCATCCAAGTCAATCTTTCAAAAAACCTTTGATAACATCTAATTTCCAGAGCAGCTGTTACACATCCAATAACCATCTCCCATCAATGTTTCAGGCATGCCGAGCCCTTGTTCATTATCAC